AGTAACAAGTACCTGGAGTGCAAGCGCGAATCCTCTTTTAAATCCAAGACAACAATTTCTACACAATAATGAAAGAATATATGGGCAATGAGAGCATCAATACAGCGCCGAAATTGGTTCGTAATTATAACAAGAATTTCAACTAATTCACATAAAATGTTGTACTACCATGTCGATACAAAAATCCTTGTACGTTTTGGTTTGCTTCAAACCATTTTTAGCCATTTTTAATTGTGAACAATTTCGTCGATGTCTTATAATAAATAAATTTTGGAATATTGGATAGGTAATTCTCGTCGATATCTTGATAAATAATCTGCGATGTTAGAAAGATATTTTATGTGAGACTAGAGGATGAGCATATTCCTACTGTCAGGTTGAGAGTTGCCAAAAATTGTCTCTTTGCTTTAAGTCAAATGATTTAGGGGCTTTGCACAATAAAGTCCAGATCTACAAAAGGTATTTTAAGTCTTAAGCCGTAAATTGACCATCTACAGTTGAATACGAGGAGAATAAGTAATTGTGATTCATCCATTCCTTGTGGCTTAAAGCTTAAAAATCTATTGTAGATCCGGGGAAAAGGAATAGGGAACAGAGAACAGAGAATAAGAATTTTAACGTATCAGAAACTATGTATTCTACAATACATGATTTCTGATAGGTTGAAATTATTATTCTCTGTTCTCTGTTCCCTGTTCCTTTTATTGTGCGGAGCCCTTATAGCCTCCGTCTCCATAGATCACAATCACTTATTCCAAGGGAAACACGTCAATTTAATAAAAGAATACAAAAAATTTTTAAAGTTGTTATAAAAAGAAGAATTTTCTCCCCAGGAGGAAAGAAGAGGAAGAAAGTACAAAAGTTCAGCCAAAAATAACAGGTCTATAAAGTAACTAAGCGGAAATGGGGTGGCACCCAGTTGGACACGGCTCAATTGGACACGAGCCACTCAGAGCGTTTGACTACAAAGCTCCTAGGCACCTGGTGTGATTGGTGGTGTCCAATCGAGCCGTGATCAATCGGGATCACCCCGCGGAAATGCCTACTCATGTAGCTTAAGTCCTGTTTTATTTTTTTTAATTTCAAAGTTTTTTTATGTCAGTACGTTAAAAAACGATAATTTAATGATAATTTATGACTATGCATGAATGTATTTTTCAATAAATATTGATGTATTTACTATTTAGTCAAATAAAATGCAATATCAAATTTAACTCTCGAAATCGTCAGATTAGGTTAATAAATAACGGGCTAGTGAGAATCAATTATGTGGTACGTCATGCAAATATAATAATCATTTATACATAAATACTTATGAATTTATTCTTTAAACGTTTTGGCCTTCATTCGGGCCATCTTCAGTGAACGATAATAACAATTTCGCTTCTAATCCGAACTAGAGAGTGGCAAATCCATCCTTGTATTCATTTTTTAGACTACAAGATTAACCAGTCTTGTGGCAATTGAATCAAAGGAAATCCGTTCGAACGTGAAGACATAAAATAATATGAAGTATCAAGCGTTAACATCGAGGTGTTTGATTCGTCCATATAATATAATATACCTGTGTACAAGTCAACGGATCGCAGTTAAACTGCGATCTATATATTATAATTTTATATTATAGCGAATTATATATTATAATATATAAATATATATAATATATTTCTATATATGTATACATATGTAAAATATGTAAAATATATTAAAATTTTCAACATTTTTGAAAAAATTTTACATAAGTGACTAATGATCTCCTATTTACTACCGGTATGTTACTGAAGCTACATTGGACGCGCATGCGTCTGAAATCCAGCCCATCTAACAACACTGCGACCGACCACCAGCCGTGAGTCCGGTTCGGAGCCGAGGCGCCCCAGCCCGTAAAAGAAGCATCAGAAAATATTTTGCATACAAACCGACCCGTTAGGATAGAGTTTGCTTGGAGTTGACCGGCCAAAGTATTGAGCCACCACCGAAAATCTTCTGTGAAATCCGATGTAATAACCATTTTCGCATTGAAATCATTATTAAATTTTATAAGAGCTAAAAGCTTCTACCTTTCGAACGCCTTCGTATACAGAAGACCATACTTTACCGCGGGGTAGACGGAAATAAGGGGCCCGATCATACTCGCGAAACGTTTGATTGAGCAGTGAGATTTGACCGAAAAGCTTGAAAGCAAATATAATTTAGTCCAACGCTGACAACGCTCAAAATCGAACACGAAACCAAGATACTTGCGTCGCCGCGCGGGTTCTAGCTCCGACTTCCCGAAGTTTATAATGAAACCCAAATCCGAAAAAATGTTGAAGATGACTGCGAACGAATCCCAGAGACGAGACCATGGACCTATAATATATGGACCGAGCATAGACAAGGAAACCGTGATGCCAAGATATAAAGTGAGACAGCATGATTAGTACTTACTTTCCCTCTCCATGCGCTGCTGCGTGGAAGAAGAGTGGGGTAACAGACCGAACGGACAGGCAGGCGGGACAGGCGTAAGCTAACCTCTGTGATAATAGTAAAAGTGAAAATGCGTATGTGTGTTGCGTGTAAATATAAGAAAATAAATCCGACCGTTATATATATCCGTTTTTTTGTAAGTAGTAAATAATAATTTGTAATTATTGGTTTTATCGAAAGCAGTGTATATATATATATATATATATA